TTTGATTAGTGGTATTGAATAAGTAAGATTTAAATCAGGTGAGTTCCCAGGTCATTGAAAAGGGGTTCATCTCCATGTCTTGAATAAATTTCTTAACCTTTTGTTATATGCACAATTATTCAAGGTTGTGTTGCAATATTCCATCTCCATTTGGGGATTTCTATAATTCCAAAACAATTTTTGGGGGGTCAGGCAATTAGGGTTGTGACTTGCCCAGAGTACACAGTTAGTGAATGTTATGTGTCTGAAGCCAAATTTGAACTCAGGTCCTCCTGACTCCAGGGTCAGTGCTCTCTATACACTGTGCCATCCGGCTGCCCCAAAACAATTTTTCTTCTCAATGTATCAATAGATTTATCACAGTTCATCCTTCCTTTAATGGGGTAAGACCTTTGAGCCCAATGGAAACAAAAATTCACTGAAACTTTTTTGGGGTTAATGTTTTATAGTCTGAAATGCTCACATCTTATAGGGTTGCCTAGACTTCTGGCAGCTATTTTAGTATAGCCTTGAATAAAAAGTGAGTTTCATCAGCAAAAATTACTATTTTCCAATCTTTGGTACTCCATTCTTTATATTATCTGGACAATAAAGTATAAATGACAAGTATTTTTTTTTCTTCATGTTATTGGGTAGCAGCTTTTTAAAAATTAAGTGTTCTCACTATTCTCTCAACTTTAAGAAATCTTTATCGTCATGAAGAGGAGCCAGAAATGACCCCATCTAGCTGTCAGGTCCCTCTGAAGTTCTTTGTTTTCAAATGTTTAATAAGGCTGTTTTACAAAAATAGGTTTTCCATTCTTGGTGTTGTTTTTTGTTTTCCACTGAAGTTTTCTTTGTGCTTTGTTGTAACTTGTTCTTTTTCATTATGAGTTTGAACGACCTTTGAAATGCTTGACTTTTCTAAACCTATAACCAGTATGATATCTCTAACAGTCATTGAAATGTGCTCTTTAAGATCAACAACTTTCACCCATATCTTTGGAATGATAACCATTCTTAACAACCACAGAATTAAAAACCCCACAAAAGATATCAATGGAATACACATGCATAGCACAAGATCCAGCACTAAAATGAGAGAAAACTAACTAAAGATAGGGAAATCAGTTCAATAAGACTTCCACGTATTCAAGCATACGTTCTGAATCAGCTTAAAGTCAGTAGAAGCACACACACACATGACAATTGTTGTCACAAAATGAAACCATATTAAAATAATTACTTGGCCCAAATGATTCACACGCTATAGTTTCACCTCTTTCAACCTTAGTTTCCTCATCTATAAAATGGGGCAATAATGACACAAAGTTGCTTTTTGTAAATGAGATAACATATGTAAAGATCTTTGAAAACCTTAATGTGCTATCTAAAGGTTAGCTATTATTATCTATTGTTTCACTCATATGCAAAGCCTTTATTTTTATAGTCAGTTAGGAGCTGCTAGAGCTTTAGCTCTGCCACCATAGGCAGGCATGATCCACGGTTACCATCATACCATGAGGGAGGAAAGCGTGCGAAGAGAGTTTAGGTTTTAAGAATTTTTTTTCTGAAAGAAAGAAAAAACTAAATCCATGTATTATCCAGCACTCACCAGCACATAAATTGAAGTCTTACCTGTCCTGTCAAGCACATTGTTTTGCTCCACAGATGAAGACAACTAAAACCCAGAGGAAATAAATTGCTTCTGCTGCGGGGTTTGGGCAAAGCTGGAATTAGGCTTAGGCATTCATCCTTTCTGGTTTAAAGAGCCAACAAACCTCACTAGAGTCAAATATAAGCTTTGCTGTGATCAGAAGACTGAAAAAGGGGGCGCCAGACTTTTCAAATTTACATACATCACTTCTCAGGGATAGGAGAAGGCAGTGACAGCATGGTCTGATGCTGAAATTTCAACGGTGTAGGGAACTCACATGGTGGAAAATCTCTCCACTAGTACAGATCAACACCTCGTCAGTAGCAGTCTTAGAGAGTTACTTTGCCTGGGGCAGTAAGGAGGTAATCAATTTGCTTTGGGTCACACAGGTAATAGGGGTCAGAAGTAGGATATGAATCCAGGTCTTCCTGATTCCAAGACTGGCCCTCCATGGACTAGGTCACATTTCTTCTCGGGTGATGGAACAAGCAAAAGGAACCAGTTGAAACTCATTTGGACTTCATTTTTACATGATGAGTACAAAACAATAAAAATAGCATTCATATAGCATCTTAAGGTTTGCAAATCATTTTACAAATACTATCTTATTTGATCCTCCTATGTAGGAGGTATGCGCTATTATTATCCCCATTTTACAGACAAAGAAACTAAAGCAGACAAAGGTTAAGTGACTCGCCCAAGGTCATACAGCTAGAGGGGAATTTGAACTCAAGTCTTCCTGACTACAACCCCTGGTGGTTCTATCCACTATACTACCGAATTGCCTCTAAACATATAAGGATTTTTACCCACGTGCAGTTTTTCAAAGTTGTTTTATTAAAAGCCAAACATTAAATACCAATATGAGCAACTAAAATTGTTTAGTAATTATTTACATCTAAATTAATTTCAACACACAAAGTATCATAACACTTGTTCGGGCAGCTTCTCTCTGGTAAGTCCTCTTTAAGATTCTTAATTTATTTTCATTTGCTTTTCATTTTGTATGGTTCTAATTAGAATGCATTAGGGGCAGCTGGGTGTCCCAGTGGATAGTGCGCCAGGCCTAGAGTCAGGAAGACTCACCTATGCGATATTAAATGTGACCTCAGACATTTACTAGCTGTGTGACCCTGGGCAAGTCAGTTGACCCTGTTTGCGTCCGTTTCCTCATCTGTAAAATGAGCTGCAGAAGGAAATGGCAAACCACTCCAGTGTCTTTGTCAAGAAAACTCCAAATGAGGTCACCGAGAATCAGACACCACTGAAAAACAATTGAGGCAAACAGGATTAAGTGACTTGCCCAGGGTCACAAAGCCAGTAAGTGTCTGAGGCCAAATTTGCGCTCAGGAAGAGGAATCTTCCTGACTTCAAGCTCAGCACTCCTCCACTGTGCCACCTAGCTGCCCCTTACAGCTAACTGTTGTTGAGTCGGTTTCAATTGTGTCTGACCCTTCAAGATCCCATTTTGGAGTTTTCTTGGCAAAGATACTGGCATGGGGGCAGCTAGGTGGTGCAGTGGGTAGAGCTCCAGCCTTGGAGTCAGGAGGACCTGAGTTCAAATCTGAACTCAGACACATAACACTAGCTGTGTGACCCTGGGCAAATCACTTTACCCCAACTGCCTCACTGCAAAAAAAAAAAAAAGATACTGGAGTGGTTTGCTATTTCCTTCTCCAGCTCTTTTTACACATTAGGAAACTGAGGCGAACAGGGTTAAGTGACTTGCCCAGGGTCACACAGCTAGTCAGTATCTGAGGCCAGATTTGAATTCAGTTCTTCCTGACTCCAGGACCAGCACTCTTTCTACTGTGCCACTTAACTACCTCCACATATATGCCTGCTACATATGTATATGTATATATGTGTATGTGTATATGTAATAAAATATGCTGCTACAAAAACCACTGTACAGATAATTGCCTTGTTTTGTTTTGTTTTGCATATTACTTACTTGCCATGAGGCAGCAAGCAAGCATAGAGGATAGAGGCAGATCTGAAATTAAGAAGACCTGAGTTTGAATCCTACCTTAGGTACTTAGTAGCTATGTGTCTCTAAGCAAGTCAGTTAACATCTCTCAGCCTCAGTTTCCTCACCTAGCAAGTGGAAATAATAATAATACTTACTTCACCAGGTTGTTGTGAGAATCAAGCAACATATAAAGTGTTATAAAAATGTTAGTTATTAATATTGTTTTTACTTCTAGAATATATTCCAAGCAATGGAATTATGGGTTAAAAGATAATGGTCTATAATTTGTAAGATCAATTTGTCCTCCCCAAAATATGTCCAGATTATATTAATAGGAATATAATGCCCTACGATCGTATCAGTCATTATCGTTTCAGTTTGACACTCTAACATAGGGATTCATAACCTGGGGTCCTTGGATAGAATCTAGGTGGTCCATGAACCTGGTTAGGGGGAAAAATTACATTTATATTTCAACAAAATTGGTTTCCTTTGTAATCCTGTGTATTTTATTTTATGCATTTAAAAACATTATTCAGAAAAGAGGTGCCTAGGCCATGATGCAGGCTATGATGAAGAAAGGGTAAGAAGCTCAGTTGTAGCCATAATTGACAGTGCAGAAAATTGGAGTCAAGTAATTTGTCCATACTTAGATATGGTCTACAGGCTCATGTTAATAAAGAGGGGTTGTCCCACTCCTCCCCAATTGCCTTTGGGCTAACAAGAGTCCCTTCTCTTTCTCTCCTCCGCCCCTCTACAGGAATGCATCACAGATTGTGAAGTGCAAGACTTCCTTAGCCCGTTCTGGGCCCCTTGCACCAAGGCCATGAATAAGGGACCCTGGCAGCTCAGCTCGGCCAGCAAGGACAAGGCAATGGCATCTGTGTACCAGCCGCAAGTGATGGAGGCACAGGGCCTGCACCAGATGGAAGGCAAGAACCGCGTGTCCCGAGTCAGAAGCTTGTTCCACTCCCAGGAACAAGAGGCAGCAGAAGGCTTGGGGGAGCCAGAGGAGGAGATGCAGAAGAAGTTGCAGAAACGGTTTGGGGGCTTCACCGGGGCACGGAAATCTGCCCGGAAGTTGGCCAACCAAAAGCGGTTCAGTGAATTTATGAGGCAGTACCTGGTCATGAGCATGCACGCTAGTGAGCACCAACGTCATGGCCTGGCCCCAGGCCGCAACCTGCCTCAGAATGGCAACGTGTAGCCTGAAGGGGAGGCCTCTCCCAGCTGCACCGTCCACTTCAACCCATGAGTAAGTTGGGAACAGTTGGAGGCAGCAACCTCATTCACCCAACTCCTTCGTCATTCCCCCGTACAGGAACCATCCATTTTCCTCTCCTAAGGAGTTTGGCTCCTGTAGGGACTAGGAGATCTAACCATCTTTCTTACCTTCTGTGAGGAGCCTGGTTTATATGGAGACTAGTAGGCATACCCTCCTTCCTTTAAGAATCCAAGAGTGTTTTGGTGCTGGCCCTTGAGTTTACCTACCACACCCATTTGGAGCCTGGTTACTATGGGGATAATGGTACTCTCTGTTAGGTAAATTCATTCCTCTGTTTCTCTCCAGGAGTTAAGTTACTATGGGGATTGTTAATAGTGTACCAATTCTCCATATCCAGTTACCATAGTTACCATTTGGCTCACCTTTCCCTTGGAGACTCTATCTCTGAGGGGCCATTAGCTGGACACCCCCCCACACACCAATTTCCCCCTGGTCTGGTGACCGTGGTAATGTTTTTACTGCTTTCCCCTCAAAGACCACATGCAGTTCTTCAGCCTATGAGCCTCCCCTCCCCACCCCCAATCTCTCAAGGACACTGGTTTCCATGGAAACCATTAGACTTCTCATGCCAGAACCAGTACTTAGACCTGCTTCTTTTTCTTCCCCTAAAGTGTCTGCCCTGCCTCTTCACAGGTTTGGATTAACTTCTACACACAGGTTGCCTTGCGTTTTTATGATGTCAGGCCACTGAACTGGGTTTTGAGGGTAAATGTTCAGTTTTTTCCAGTGTTTCCTGGATGAATGGGTATGAGTCTGGGGGATTTTTGAGCCTCTCAGTTCCCAGTTGCATCTCACACTTCTTCCCGGTTTGTTCTTTTCTCTTCTTGCCTGTACACCCCAATTCTTTGCTTCTTCCTAAGCCTATCTCTCCTTGTTCTCCCTTCCTCCTGACCTATTCCCACGCACAGGAATATGTGTGTCTAGCTACATATGTGCATATCAGATAAAGAGACCAATTTGGAAATATTACTTTTGACTGAAATGATACAAACCCGACTTGCACAGCCCATTACAACTTTGGAGTTATACGTAAAATGCATAGCTATTCCCCACCCCCCACAACCTAGCATTCTACCAGTACAAGTGAATGCGTTACGACTCCTGTGTGGAATTCTATCCATTTCCATATATGTCTAATTTCAAGTGGCCAGATCAGTCCTGCACAAAATTTGAAGAATTCTTTAGGGAGATTCAATTTAAAAAAAAAAATTTTAAGAAAAGCCTTGGGCAGCTAGTTGGTGAAGTGGATAGAGCCCTGGCCCTGGAGTCAGGAGGACCTGAGTTCAAATTTGACCTCAGACACATAACACTTACTAGCTGTGTGACTCTGGGCAAGTCACTTAACCCCAATTGCCTAACCAGAAAAAAAAAATGATTAAGAAGAAAAGGCCTGTTCAAGTAGTAAAGTAATTAAGGCACCAAAAAAAGATTCTCAAAGTCTGAATGTCTCACTTTGAATTTCTTGTTTTGCTCATTCTGATGATCACAAATCAGAGGTAACTTGCCATCTGGTTTGCCAATAACCCTCTCTTTCTAAATGCCACTACATATGTTTGTCTTTATTCGGGTCTATAAGGTTTCTGTATCTGGAGACAGCCTCCATATCTATTTACCCAAGGGCACGCTGATCGGCAAACAATCACATTTCCAAATGTAGACTTATGTACTAAATTGTACTGCCACTAGTGCCAGGGTGTTTCTTTTTTTTCCAAGTAAACTGTATGACTAATTCCTGACCCCCTGAATTTACTTGTGCATACTCTGTCTTGGAGTTATCCTGGTGGATGCAGTGATATCATTAAGGGGTAAGAGTTCTATTTTTCCCTAAGCAAAAGTTCACAGTATAATACAATGCCTAAGGCCATTATTCAGCAAATCTTTCAAAACTCCTGTGTGTTCAATCCTTTCAGACCACAACAGGGCCTTTTTTAAAAACTGGAGCTTTATTGAAAGGCCTACAGCTTGAGGTCGATTTCTGCACTCCAACCTTGCTTCCTCTCCTTTAATTGAATGCAGTTTAACTCAGGATGCGTTAAACACCAAGGCAGTATGTCCTGGCTTGCTGTCACTCTGGGTTCTGAGGAACCCAATTTCCCAGGGATTGAGGGGGGCACCTCCTTTTCTATTTTCCTTTGGGAGATATCGTCAAAGAAAAAATATTAATGCTCTACTCCTCATTGTAGGCATGAGCTTACCAGAAAAAAATTTTATTAATATATGATTATTCTAAATTCAGAGAAAAATGTCCAGACTGACAGAGTTCCCTCATCCCCTTGGATATCTCCTTCCACAAGTCATTTTGAAATCCCAATTTATGGGATTCTCAAATAAGTAATATTTCAGTTGAGAACAAGGGCCTGAAGTTTAGGTAACCGTTCAGTTAACAGTTTGCTTTGTCAGAGAAGACAGTCACTTAACCTTTGGCCCACCCTTGAACAATCATTTTCTTGAAAGCATTCAATCTGTCTTTGACCACTCTTTTCAAGGATTTTCCTTTCCAGCTGGTCGATACCAACCTAACTTTCATTAACTGAAGTAATCAAAGAGAATTCTTCCTTCTCCTAGGTAGATTATTGCTCTAATTGTTCAAGGTAGATCAGTCAAGCGTCCCCTTCCCTTCTCTGATCACTGCCCCAATTACTTCAAGGGAGTAGTCCTTCCTAGGCTGATCAGAGAGAGTAGAGCAGCATACTATTTCAGAACTGATAGAGAAAGACCAATAAGGATTTCTTTGTCAGATTAGACCAAAAGCTTTGGACTAGGAAAATTTTAAATGCTTTCTCTAAAATATTTCTTTAAATACTTCTCAAAGGCGGAGCAAGGGAGCATTTTAGTCTGCTTTTGCAACATGAAGTGCTCCCAAATCCGGAGCTTGAGAGCACCACAAAACATGATATTATTCAATAAACTGAGTTTGAAGCAAAAGAGATCTTTTCTCTTCCTATCATTACGTACTTCATGCAGAGAAAATCTAAGCTCCATTTGACCCTGATTTTTAATTGTATTTCTTCTAAAACTCAAACTGGAAAGGTCAAAAATTCAAGAGATTGAATCTTGAATCTAATGTAACACAGAACCTTTAGCAGAGTTTTAAAGTTCATATTTGAAAACCACATCAAAAAAGCCCATGCTCCACCTGCCAAATGCCCTTCGGCACATACCTTCTCCAAACCCTCAATGAAAATTCCTGCATCACAAACACACATATACATGTACTAACACAAAATACCAACTTAAGCAGGGGAACTTGGGTAAAACCCAGAGAGAGAAAAAAATATATACTGGCTTTTTCTGTACAGGAAACCTGGGAAAACTGAATTTGGGACTCAGTGTTTCAGACTTAGACAACCTCATCTTCTACGTTGCTCTCCTGTCCTCACTGAACCCAGGGTCTAGATTCATTTCTATGCAGATATAGTGTAAATTTTCTATAACAGAAGCTTGGCTATAAACAAACATACTGTAAGCACACAGTTCATTCACTAGGATCATATATTTAGAACTAGAAGGAATTTCAAAGGCCTCCTATCCCAATCTTTCCATTTTACCTGTAGGAAACTGAGTGGCTGGCATATAATTCATAAATACATCCCAAAAGAATGAAAGACAAGGTAGCTTAGTGGCAAGAGTACTGGAGCAAGAATTTTTTAAAAATTGTTCAGAGGCAGCTAGGTGGTACAATGGATGGAGCTCTGGCATTGGAATTAGGAGGACCTGAGTTCAATTCCAGCCTCAGACACTTGATACTTACTAGCTGTGTGACCCCCGGCAAGTCACTTAACCCCAAATGCCTCACCAAAAAAGCAAAGAAAAAATTCAAAAAACTTATTTTCTAGTTCTGTTTGACTATTCATTCATTGTGTGACCTTTGGCATATCACCTAACCTTTTCAAATCTCAGTTTCCTTATCTATAAAATGAAGATAATAATAATAATATATATATATATATATATATATTATATAAACACAGAGGTATTGTAAAGATCAAAACACTATTTAAGTATAATGGATAGATAGGGCAAGTATAACTGCAAGAATGCAGGCCTCTGAGTTCACTCTGCCCTTTTAAGTGTTACTAAGAGAAATTCCTGAGTAATTTGCATGTCCCTGGCATTAGCTAAGTACCAGGAGCACAAAGACTATTGAAAGAGATTTGCTTACCTTAATCTTATCATCAGGTAGGCCTGGGAGAGGTCTTACCAAGGGAGAGAAAAATAAAGATATTTCCCTTAACGAGAAAGCCTTTGCTGAATTACTGCTGTCATCTTCTTCTAGGCTTCTTCCCCACTGAATCTGTCTTTAAATACTGAGTCTTCTTCCTCAAAGGGAATGTTTATTATTCTTTTACTACTAGAATCTATTTCAGCTCTTTTGTTACTCGGGCCCACAGTCATGCCTAGCCAGCAAAGCAAAAAATCCCTACTGTTACAGTCTTTCTTTTTAACAATTTTACTTGCCCTCAGAGAAAACTCATCAAGATCCATTTGGTATTTAGATTAAGGCAAATTAATTCCTTTCCTTGGGTAACTAGCACCAAAGCTATGCAAATTACCCTAGAACTCTACTTAGCAACTCTAAAGAATCAGGGTAGAACTGGCAACTTTTGTCATGCATTACTGTAGTTATACCCAAGTCTATATGTTCTTTTCATAAATAGGAGTTATTATTAATAATACCTTATATAAACACACAATACCCTTCAAAACAAGATAGTTCCCTTTGCCTGTACTATTGTCCAGTTGCTACCCTTCATCTGTGATTTAGCCCAGGCCTGGGAAGCCAAAGGTCCTGTCAGCCACCAGATAGCTGTTCCACATTGCAACCATATTTTGTGATTCTGAATCTACTTTACAAGTAAAGTAGTCCCAAGATTGCAGGTGTGCTTCCTCCAGCACGAAGGAAAGATCTTCAGCCTCCTCTACACCCCTACTCCTTCATACAGGTTCCAAACAAGGGTTGTGCTGATAAATGATTAATAGCTATCTTTCACATACATATATACACATACATACTTATATATGCATATATATGTGTGTGTACATATATACACACATATGCATGTGTATGCATATGTATATATGTGTATGTGTATGTATACACACTTTTAAGTTTAATCTGCATTATTAACAATTTCTCCATTTCTTAAATACAGACAATTGGCAAAATAAGAAACAAAGCTCTGATTTGTAGTATTTGCTTATTTGAAACTTTGACAATTGGCTTTCCCAAGCCAG